AAAAAAAAGACCATGTATAGTAAGGCGTTTTTAGCCGAAAAAAACGACCATGTATAGTAAGGCGTTTTTAGCCTTAAAAAAACGACCATGTATCGTAAGGAGTTTTTGGTTGAAAAAAAACGACCACGTATAATAAGGCGTTTTTAGCCGAAAAAAATGACCATGTATAGTAAGGCGTTTTTAGACGAAAAAAACGACCATGTATCGTCAGGTGTTTTTAGCCGAAAAAAACGACCATGTATAGTAAAGCGTTTTTAGCCCGCAAAAAAGACCCTGCAAAGTAAGGCGTTTTTAACCGAAAAAAACGACTATGTATAGTCTGGCGTTTTTGGCCGAAAAAAAAAGACCATGTATAGTAAGGCGTTTTTAGCCGAAAAAAACGACCATGTATAGTAAGGCGTTTATACCGAAAAAAAGACGATGTGTAGTAAGGCGTTTTTAACCGAAAAAAAGACCATGTACGTCAGGCGTGTTTAACCGAAAAAAACGACCTTGTATAGTAAGGCCTTTTTAGCCGAAAAAAACGACCATGTATAGTAAGGCGTTTGCGGCAAAATAATTTCGGAATAATGGATGTAAAGTTAAACCTTGGTTTCATCGAGCAATAACAAAATCTCGTAAACATGGGGCCAAAAGTTACAGAAAAGGTGTGCACAGTTGAGCAACAACATTACTTCAGTCGGTTTTACTTGCCTTCTCAAAAAGGTGACAGAAAATATCCCAATTCAGCTGTGTCGCTCATCGGACATATTACCGGCACGTTTGTGGACAAATTTTTTCCATCCATAAAAATACGTTTTGAAATGATACAGGCTTAGCAACTTGAAATTTAATACAAAAAGTCACACTCACATGAAGGTTTTTTTTTTTTGGACATAATACAAGTACTGTATTTATGATGTGGCCGGGCGGCTTTTCGTTTTGCAAGGGGGACGAAGGCTGTGCTTCACACACACGAAGCAACACAATTCGTCAGTTTGTGTATATTTAAGTCCAGCGATAATGTTGCTATTGATATACAGTGCCATACATGTAAAACAAAAAAAACAAACAAAAAAAAAAAAAACTACATGAGTAAAAGAACGAAAGAATATACACAAATTTCATTCAAGTACCGGTGAACAATTTCAACGTTTGTGTACAGTGTGTGTATGTATCTCTCTCTCTCTATGTGTGTGTGTGTGTGTATATGTATATATATATATATATATATATATATAGAGAGAGAGAGAGAGAGAGAGAGAGAGAGAGAGAGAGAGAGAGAGAGAGAGAGAGAGAGATACATGCTCACACCACACACATGCATGCGCGCACACACACACACACACATATATACTGTATATACAACATATTTAGATTTTTTTAATCCCAACTAGTCTTTTCATTTTACATTGAACACGAGGACATAAACATACATGAGACTTGCACGGAAGTAAGAATGAATTTGAGGTTTGACAATTTGACAACACTATGCCTCACAGAGACAAGTTGGGTTTTTTTTTTCTATTCTATTTTTTTTCTAGTCAGACTTCATGTTGCAATGATAAACGCTCACTTAAAAGCGTCCGGCGTAGTCCTTTCAACACGACAAATCAAAAAATTAAAATGACATAAAAAGAAATTCTAATGTGTGGACAATATCATGTCAAGAAGTTGAACACTGTTGTCATCCTCCATCATCGGCAATGTCGCACTGTCGATTGATTGCCCCGCTGCTATTCACCACAACACGTGACATGCCAAAACAACAGATTCATCTCTGACACGTTTGACACACACACACGCACGCACGCACGCACGCACGCACGCACGCACGCACGCACGCACGCACGCACGCACGCACGCACGCACGCACGCACGCACGCACACACACACACACACACACACACACACACACACACACACACACACACACACACACACGCGACTTTACATACGCACGTCTTACCCTGAGGTAAACACTGGTGGTCACGTAAGACAAACAGATTTGTGCAAATTAAAAGTTTGGATAAAAAGGTCCGACTAAGGCCTCAAATAAAAGAAGGATTTTCTAGGTGAGCCGAAGGAGTTCACCAGGCTTCAACGGCGTACCTTTCACTTGCTTGACTTAAGGTCGGCGTCCAACACCGGTCCTTCGCTTTAATGCTCAGCCTGTGCTTACAAGCAGGCATCGCCACGTCCAAAGAATTCAATTTGATGTCAGACATTGGAATCAAACGCAAAGGGCCAAAGGGGTGTTCGTCGTCAGGGTCTCTGGGGGTCGTATTGCTGGTAGCGGTTCAGCTTGTCCGGGTCATTGGAGGCCATGTGGGTGAAGTCCTGGAAGATGTCCTGGTAGGTTTCATCTCCTGCCACAAGTAAAACATACACAATTGCCTTAAAAGAATGCAGATATAACACCAAGTTTTACGTTCCCATATGTGGACTATATGAATAGAGATATGTATGGACAGCTAGATGGTTGTGGCTCACCACATGGATAAATGCAAGTGCACCTCAATATATTTGAATATGGACATGCATAAACGAGTGCAACAGAAACAACTCGAAAGACTCGACAAATGAAAAAATGGGTCGGAGAATATGACACAAATTTTGAAAAAATATTCCGAACAAATGGTTTGAAAATAATGACAGACTGACAGCTACAATTTTAGGCCTTCCTAGGAATTTCTATTTCTGATTCATCTCATGAGGAATAAATGGCCGACCTCAAAACTGACAAATTTTTGCAAGCACGTGCGTCTTGATGAAAAGCTTTGTATGTATTTTAGGGGTCCCAAACCCAACGCCCTAAAACCCACTCGGTAGCACCCTCCATGAAAAGTGTCTTATTTGCCATCACATCAGTTTCAACCCTTAATTGGGAGGGGGTGGGGAGTCCATCGTGACTGGACCCACAAAAAAGTCATGGGGACCCATGCCGGTAAATGAACAGGAAGTCAGACATTTAGCTTCGAGGCAGCCATTTTGAGCGAGTTCCGGGGCTGGTATTTCGACAATGCCCTAGGGGGGAATTCAGCCAAATGAGTCCCACGGATCAGGTCATGTCACTTTGCATTATCCTGGTGACGATGTATGCAATTCAGAGTTTGAAACACAAGTGCCCAAAATCCACCCTGTGGTGCCCCTTGGAAAAACTTCGACCGTGCTATCAAAAGCCATGGCAACAAAGTTTGAACATTTAAGAATGGGAATTTCAATCGTACAATAAATTGTTCCTTACGTTGTGAGCTCATCTCCCAAGCTTTCCTCACAAAATCAACTATCAGGTAATACAGTATATTGCAACAAAGTGGAAACGACATGACGTTAGATGAGAAATAATCAGCCAGTCAGCAAAGGAGATGGGGGAACAAAAGAGTCACATTTAGAAGAAGCGGGAGGGAAAAGAAGAAAGAGTCAGCCATACCTGTCGGAGCACCGGCGTGGCTGGACATATGAAAGAGAAAGCAGGCCCAGAGAACACAAAAAGATGGAGCAGAAGAAGCAAGAAGCAAGCAGACACTCACACACAGGAAGTTAGCTTATTGTTAACAACTGTATTGTGTTTAAAGTGCAGCCTTGTATTGACAACAAATACAGTTGGGGTAACACAAAAAAAAAGGCACAAATTCCAGAGTGGGATTTTACACCAACCAAAACAACCAAAAGCTCTCAATTTGCCACTCATAAAAACTTTTTGTCTCCCCAAAAGTGGTGTTTGTGAAGTTGTAACCGTATCGGTTCGAATCTGTTGATTGCAGCCGTAGGTGAACAAACAAAAGAAGTGATGAGACGGCTTGTCTCTCATGAGCAGCATCATTCATCATCTGATTGGGCGACGGGTGAGTTGGCCCTCATCTAGCCAAGAATGAATGAGAAAATGATGACGATGGCATCAAATCGCTTGTTCGTATCCCCTTTTCCGTGATTGCCGACTGCTCTCGAGATGTGCAAGTACCAGCAGTCAGCAATCATCACTCTCAGCCCACGCCAAGAAATTAGTTACTTTCTGGCTCGTCATAGGTCCAAAAACTCCTTCTCCCCAGAGTGACAAATGATTGCTCAAGCTGCGTGCAAAGGCGATTCAACAGTCCAGCACCAGAGGGCGCTGCAGCATCATAATCAATTAAAGGGCCAGTGTGTCAATCGTGGTGGGGGTCCTCGGTTTCAAGATAGAATGCGCTGCAGGCTATCGCCATGAATTCTTAATTACAGTACAATATTTGAAAGAAAAGACAATTTGTCTGACTGGCTAACAGTCCGGGATCGAGTCAACTAGAAGCCGAATGAGGACAGACACTACAGAAAAGTGAATGGACAGTTCGAGGCCAAATAGGGAGAACAATATTCAAGTTTGCCGTCTTGTGCCGAGTGAAAACGGATGCCTATGCTAGTTCATCAACAGAGGACACCCCCCGCCCCCAAACAGATTGTGAGGCTTAACTAAGTGTTCACTCATTTCTGTCATTTGGAAAAAAAAAATAAAGGATTTAGAGACAAGCAGGCCCATGTGTGTGTGAGTGAGGGCCACTCCACCATCCTACACACTGCTCCTTTAATCAAAGTGCTTGTGCGCTATCTAAATATTTGGAGCTGCGTGAAGCGGCAACAACAGATGAAAATGTGGTACATCTTTAGAACTCTGTCACTATTTACACAATTCGACAGCCCGCTCCTCTTATGCCACCATCTATTTTTTCACCATCAAAAGCTAATTACCTGTGCTGATTTGCACGAAAAACAACAATCGCGACCATCACAGTCATTTCTTACAATTCTGGATTTCCTGCCATAACATTGGATGAGCACAAAGAAACGCTCCAGGCTTTCGACACCATCATAACATCATTACCAGTGAAACTTTGGTCCAACAACATCAGTCAAATCTGTTTTTTTTTTTTCTGTTCAATGTCGAGCATACAAGATTTTTGTGTGCATGTTTGAAATGCGTACACACAACAGAATTGCCTGGAAAGAAAATAAGAGATTGTTGCATACCAACATCATGACAGAAAGATGTATGGACATTCAACGACAAAGTAGCATTGGAAGATTAAAAGACATAGGTTGCAAGCAAACAAACAAAGAGGAATTCTCACTTAAAAAAATAATGCCCTAGTATATACTATAATTGCACTACTTTATAAACTGGACACTTATTTGCCCAAAGATTTAGGTGAACATGTCTAATATTGTGGGTGGAGACGGAGCGGAAAAATGTCAAGGAGTAATCATGGAAAATCAGCAAGTGTGATATCCCTGAATTTAAAGGGAGGGTGCAGCCTCCATGTAATATTTGATAGAAGCTTTTCATTATGTTGCCACCAGGATATTTTTCTGCACAATGTTGAGTGTCCTGTGTTGAAACAGAATAGTGCGGCACTGCCCCCGACGCTGAACCATCCCCAGGGCGCTGCGGGTCACTGACGAGAGTTGGGCTCTGACTATTTTCCATTAAGCGGAAGTGTTTGAACAAGCAAAATGCTTCCCATTTGTAAGAAGAATCTGAAAAAAATATTTCAGTGATTTCTGAGGACCACAAAACTGCTGAATATGTGCCTCCTCAGAAAAATATCCTCCAAGCAGGCCCTGTATCCCCGCCCCCACCAACCCGAGCCTGTTTTTGCGACACATGAGTACTGTGCATTAGGTGTCATCCAGCTGCAGACTGATAAACTCCTGCATACACTTCCTGTACTGCATCTCAGTGGGGCTGTTGGCGTTATATTGACCTGTCTGGCTGTAGGGGCCCTCTGCCTCGCGCATCTCCTCGTTCATCTTGGCCAATCGCAGCCTGCGGAGCAAGAAGAGAGGAACGCAAATGGCATTAGAAAGATTCTTCTCAGTGATCAATAATCCCCTTTTCAGACAGCGCAGCTTTACGTATGAGAGCTGATTCTGACTGGCCAGCTGAAATATTGTGTCTATGTAAGCACCAAATAGTTAAGGAGATAAATGTGATCATATAGTGACACCTTGTGGTAGATTCATGCCGACAAGGAAATTGGTAGGAGAAAATGTATGAGTGCACTAGATTGGCTTGAGGGATGATGGCTGAGACTCATCCAGTTGTCCTTTTTCTACTTTGCTTGACCTCATTAGGGTTGCAGGTGAGCTGGAGCCTCTGCCCGCTGACTTTGGGCAAGAGGCGGCTTACATTGGTCCGCCGGCCAATCATAGGGCACGGACATTTAACAACCAGGCATGCTCGTATTCACACCTAAGGACAACGCAGAGTTTTAAAGAAGCCAACGGCACCCTGGTGGAGATTTAGTCATCAGATCAGATCAGATCACCTATACTATACACCCCATGATATAATCTCTCACTGTCAGAGTTTATTTAGTGACAACGACCAGCTCACAGTGAGACACATCTCATTGCAATGATGGGAGAGAGAACCCAGCAAAAATGTGTGGTGGCCATCAGCGTTAAACAAAACGGATGAGATTTTTACGAAGCTAAAGCAAAAGATAAAGACTGAGGTGAAAGAACAAAACTCACAATGTAACAATGTCTGCATTAGCCGCTTCCACCGCGATGGCCAGCGGTGTTTTCTCCTCAATGTCTGCAGCGTTTTGATTGGCTCCTCTCTTCAAGAATAAACACACTTGCCTGAAAGTGAGACAAGGTAAATGGATGCTGTGCCAAAGTTTCGTTGACGAGACAAAGAGTGCCGATCACCGACCCTGTGCGTCCCAGCATGGTGGCGTGGTGCAGAGGTCCTCGACCTTGAGCATCCTGCTGATTTACGTTGGCCGCATTTTGGAGCAAAAACTCGCAGGTCACCAATGAGCCCTGGAATGAAACATCAGTCAAACTGAACTTGTTACGAAAAAAATAGATGTATATATTATGCATAGCGATATCTCTCTATTTATGTATACACACACACACACACACACACACACACACACACACAGTTTATTTTTTTACTAATTCAGACTTAAATTGTAGTTCAATGAGGTGGTGAAGCCTGCTTACCCCCCGCACTGCCATGATGAGCGGTGTTCTCTTGTCGTCTTCGGTGTTGACCCAGTTGACTTGGGCTCCGTGGGCCAGTGCCTCAGCCATGTCAGGTAGACTGCGGGCACACGAAGCCCAGTAGAGCTGAAGACCTGAACTGTACTCCTTGGGCTCGGAGAACACGGTCTCCTTACAAGGTGATGGTGGCGGCAGAGTGGCTGGCATGGGCATGGGCGGAGGCTCAGCAATATCTTCATAATAAAGGCAATAGATCGACATTCACACTTTTCAAACTGAATGAATGATAGCATCTTATTGGCAGACAATTCGGTTTTCTAGCAAGAATGTATTTACAAAAAAAACGTAAAGACAGAAGGGGGTTTTTAAGCAAATCTCTATGAATATGAAAACATGCCAGTACCTAAACACACTTTGGCCAATCAAAAGCCAAATTTCAGATGACACAGGTTTTAATAAAATCTCCCCCACACCCCCACCACAGACAACACCCAACAATTGAATGTTTGTTAAAATCGAAACCACCTATAAATGTTTTTGCTTTCTTAAATACCCATGTTCGTGTTAATATGGCTTTCGTTTCAGTTAGAATTGATGGTTCAGTTTATGCGAGGACTGCATTAGATTTTTTTTACCTGCATCGGCCAAACTACTATTAGAGGGGGTGGTGGCCAGCATTTCCCTGCTGCCATCAGCACTATGCTGGATTCCACTGTCGGCGCTTTTGACTGCAAAGAAAGAAAAAGACCATCAATAAGGAACACGGATGGAAAACAACCTGAAAAATTATATTTGATGAACTTAATTTTTAAAAATATTTCGAATACCCAGCATATTTTGTTGTCTCTGTTTTTAAGACAGACTGAGTATTGCCGCAATAAAAAATGGTTTGTTGAATAATATTATGATTATGAATACTATTTTGACATTTGCAAGTTTATGTGCTAATTTAGTACCAATTTCATTATCACCGACATCTTGTGTTATGATTGCTACCTACGAATAAAACTCTGTACATTATTCTTGACATTATAATTATTAACATGTAGTGTCAAGATGAGATGTGTGAGGAGAGATTCCAACAATCAAGTTTCGAGATCACATCAACATAAAGGCACAGTGTATATTAATCAGCGAACCACAACCGTGTGTGAGCATCATTCCCTCCCCCAGGAAAAAGACAACATGGAATAATTCTCTTCCCACAAAGAAATCCTCAATTAGTAGAGTCTGGGTGAAGGAGGAGAAGGCGAGAGGATGAAGGGTTGTTAGGATCACAGCCTCCAATTTAGCGAGAGTCCAATGGACAAATGGGATGGAGAAGCAGGCCAGACATTAACAACACTGAATACTTACTGCTCCTGAGCTTGGAGGAGTTGTCAAAGTAGGAGAAGAGTGAATGAAGCTCGTCAGGACAGAAGAGAGAGTCCCGCCGGGCCTCCGAGCCACTGGCAACAGCTACGCAAGGGATGATGGAATTTGGGGAATGGGATATTGGGTAGCACAGGTTGTAGGGGGGCAGTTGGGGGTGGGAACGGCAATTCGAGGAAGGCGGGTGGAGCAGGTATTAGTCCAGTAGCAAAGGACAGCCGGGGGAGGGGGGTGGGGAGACAAAATGTGACAACGAACGAGAGAGAGAGGAGAATGAGAGAAAGAGCGAAGGCAGAAATAGTTAAGAGTAGCTGCTCGGCTGACACTGGAGGAGACAGACTTGAAAGAGGCAATGGGAGGCAAACAGAGCTGAGACATATGCTGTTCACGGAGAACATACACTATGCCAAAAGGCTCGTTCACAGCAGTGCAAAAAAAGCACACTGAGCGCAGGGGAATGGGACAGGCTGCGATGAGGGAAGGAAGAGTGACTCTTAAGATGTGGTGCTGGTGTCATCATTTCTCTCACCCGCAAACCGTCACTACACTCAAATCGCCAAGTTTGACAAAAGGCTTCAGACACACGTGCTAAAACGCGCCCTCCAAGTATCAGTTGGCGCTTTCAACTGATGGTTCCACTGACCTGACTGTCCAGATGCGTTGGAGCCGGGTCGCAGTTTGGGTGTGGGCGGCGGCGGTCTTGGGGGCAGCTGCTCAGAGCTGCTGCTAAGTCTCTTCTCCTGTTTGCTGAGGGACACCACCTTGCTCCGAAGCTCCTCATCAGACGGCCTGCGCACGAACCTGCGATCCACATATTTGGCTTTGATGTAGGCCTCCACTTCATGTCTGGGAAAATAAAAAGGAGAATAGCAAATGAGTCACTTTTGAATCTCTCAAAAGGTATTCAAAACTAGTGTGTGCTGTATCGCCGGTCAATACATCCCGAGATATAATAGTGACCCATAAATATTATCCAAATATGCCCCGTAATGAACTTGGATCAGCATAATATTTATGTCTTAAAGGATTAGTTAAATCAAAATATTGAAACTAAATGAGTATGGCATGGGATTATATTTTATCTTGTTAAAAAAAATAAAAAATATGGATGCAAAAACCTGTCCCAAGTAAAGGTATACCTTGGGTCTCCTGGCTGTGGTTTTCTCGCTCCCAGTTCCTCTCGCCGAGCCTCATATATCTGGTTAATAACCCCGTTTCCAAGTTCACACATTAGCTGCGAAAGATGGGTTAAAAGAGAGAGAAGGAGAACACACTTTTGGGTTGAACGGATCCTGCAAGCACTTGTTAAACATCATGAAATGAGAAAGAAAGAAAAAGCTTGATTGAAAATGAATGCAAAGTAGTGAATGCAAAGTAGGAACAGTGTACTGTATGTTAGAAGGGTATTGTGCATTTATTTATGAACATTAACTCATAAAACATAAAACAACATAAAATACCTTAAGCAGTTCTGGCTCCCATGAATCCAAAGTCAGCGACCGGACCTTTGAGAAATGAACTCCCAGACTCCTGCACATGAATAAAAATTGACACCAAGTGGATTACCTCTGGTCATTCGTTGAAAGTTCATTGCTGTGAGGTCTAACACTCCTAAAAAAATACTGTAACATGATGCTTTAAAACTGCTCATTTTGTTCCCATTAATAACAGCTGTAATCAAGTAAATGGGCCCTCTGCAAACAACATCTTTTGGTATGACTAAGTTTTATATTTGGCGTCATTCACTCCAGAAAAACTTTTAACATTTCTGTATCATGATATTTTTACCTGTGAATTCCAGAGCATTGGATACAAAGGGTGATGCCGAGATTGATGCTGGCCCAGCGTGGATCTGGCTGGCCGCAGTCACAGCAACACGCGTTGCCCGGGATGGCGATGACTTTCTGCAGGGCGCTCTCCCCTTTTAGCGATCTCTCCTTGGGTTCCCCACCCGAGTCTAAGCTCCCTGTTGATGTGGAAGATTTCCTGTCCAGCTTCTGTTGCGGTCACACAGCAAAGAAACAGTGTATTTGTTGAAACAGTCCTCACTGAATCATGACACTTAAAAATTGTCGGTACACAAATGAACACACAATTATGCAACTATCACACGCTACGATGACGATTATCTTAAATTTGAGAAATGCAGCTGAGTCAATCGAATGTGTTATTGATATTATTCCAACATATTTTCATTCAGCCGTATGTGTTTTTAAAAAATGTTAATCTTCCATCCAAACAGTCCGCCTTGTGGTGTGTGTGTGTGTGTGTGTGTGTGTGTGTGTGTGTGTGCTTACCTCAGCGTCATCTCCCTTGTCGCGGAAGGCAGTGGCGATGCTGTTCTGGACTGCTTTGATCCACGCCTGTCGCAACTTCTCAGAGTCTGCTTGCATCATGCAGCTCCTGTTGGGAAAACAAGAGACACACAACTACTGCCTGCTTCGTGTGTGTGTGTGTGTGTGTGTGTGTGTGTGTGTGTGTGTGTGTGTGTGTGTGTGTGTGTATGTCTTGTCTTGTGGTAGGATGTTGTTACATTACTACTTTTACATATTCCTGTGCTCATTAACATTGACAAAGTAACTAGTTGTGCCTCACCAGTTAATGTGGCTGTGCTGTCTGTGTGTGCAGTGCATTTTGTTGTGTGCACTTACTTGGTGGGTGACACCACCTCGAAACAAAAGCGGCGCTCCAAATCTTCACAGTGTTTGACCGTGCAAAGCCTCAGGTCTTCCACGACCACCGTCGGGTTGTCCTGGGGCAACATCAAAAGCAGTGGGTATTCCAAATTTAAATATATCTTACTTTCAGTTTATAAACTGTGCCATAAAAGTCACATTCAGTGATTTGACCATGTGTCAAACCATGACCCTGATGCTCTCATTCAAAAAGATCAGTGTTATTCCCCTTCACAAGAAACCTATAAGGTGAAAAATGTGACCGGTCACGCAAATAAATGGTCAGTTTGGAATGGCAGGTAACATCGACTTAGTGCTGAAACATTCCGTTATTCTCTAAAAATGAGCAACAGACATGCAGGTCTACTCAATGAGGTTGGCCCAAAGGGGAGTCACTTGACATACCTTGAATTTCTTCTGGTAAACCAGCTGATTGTTTTGGATGGAGAACCACCGTCTGAAAAGTGATCACAAGACTGTTAGCAGGGCAAAATCCATACTTCCGTTTGGGTTGCTCTGTTTTTAAAAACAATGGCAAATTCATTTCAATATTGTTCAGGTTACTTGGTCCTCAAATGATCCATAATCAATGTTCATTCCCCCCAAAAAATCAAGCCTGGTCTCACATCCATGACTCCCGACTTGTTTATATATCCATATTCGTGTGATTTGAATTGGTCGTGTCATACCGATTCCATGTCTTGAAGGCATTGCTGGCCCTCTTAAAAAGATAACCCTCCATGGCGATGCCGTTCTCCGCATCCACGTTGTATTCCAACTTGGTGTCGTCATTAGAGAAGTCCTACACAAGACAGGGGGAATGATGAATAAAATACAACGCAAATTACGAAAATAAAACACAGCAATAAGACATAATCAGGGGAAACACTCTGGTAGAACTGATTGCTTTTCAGGTGATGAGTGAGTCTGCACTGTCAAAGACACCCTAGAGGCGTATTGAGTTGAAAGTGACCCCTTATTGTTTAGTGGCGTTGATGGTCACCTCCGACCCCAACACACAAGCATCTTGTTTTTAAGTTGAAGTCGAAAATGTCATGTCTCAATTTGATCCCTTTTATTTGCCTTCAAATGCACTCTTTCTCTCTGAGGTGTGAAACAAGTATACCTTAGCCCCACATTTTGGGGCCCAATTACACATCTGAAGAAAGCATACTTGGTGTTAAACAAATGGCAGAACCAAATCCACAAGTTTCAGTCAACTCATGGCACAGTCAGCTGCAGTCAAACAAAAACAATCGGCTGTGTTGTCAAGGGTTCGTATGACTTCAACTACCTCAGTGCTCTATTGTTACACAGTGATAAAAACCCCCTCCAGCTTCATGCGCTTCAAATGACACTGAACACTGGCATGCAAGCATTGTGTGTGACTATGTGTATCCTTGAGGACTCGCTTTACATCAAGGGCAAGCGACCTGTCAACCCATCACAGCTATGGCAAGCTATACAATTCATGGACAGAAGTAAACCTGGCCATGACATCTCCCTGAGGTTAACACTTGGGGGTGAAAATATGGAGTTGGTTTCCCATCTGCAGCGTCCATACCACCTTGGAAGATTTTCTTCCCGTTGTTGCAGCGAGTACCCATCATCAGGGATTTCTGACAAAATGTGTGGTTTGAAGTGTGACTAGTGTATATCATCGACTCTCTCAATTTATATCGAGTCCACACAGTGAGTGGTGTAGTTGCTGGAACCTAGTTCCATGAAAGTAACCCATAACACGCACAGGAGTGAATATCATGGTCCGCATGACACACAAGAGGACAACTGAGGTTTATTATTGGGTGCACAACAAAGGGCCTGAAAAGGAAAGCAAAGGGAAAAGACCTACATACATTCAACATGTCAGCTCTTGCTTAAGATGAGACACAAACTCTGCAGGTGGACCATCACTGAAAGGTAAAGTTGGGCTGAATGAGGAGGCTACTCAAAAAGTAACTCAAGTTTGAGCCACGTACACACAAACTAAGATGCGCACAGCACTAATTATTGAGACGAACAAAATAAAGGCATGAAGTGCAACACTGTTGCTGACTTCAATCCAATGACATGGCTTCACAACAGCATGGCAAAAACCAATGAAGCATCACAACAAAAACATGTCGCCAAATGAAGACATGATCACGTGGAGCACTCTTAAATGAAAGGGCAGTCGTGGGTGCAATCATGTACACAAACACTGCAATGCAGTCTGGGTTGGTTAGTACGGCCAAGGTGAGAAGATGTAGATGAGCGAAATGTTACATTAGAAAATGTAAATCAGAAATCAATGCGGTGATACTACGTACGGAGGATGACCTCCAAGCACAAAAGTTTCGGTGGTCTGAGTCCAACTCCGTCATCTCCTAAATGTCACACAGCAAAAAGAAAAGAAACATGTACTTCTCGGCCCAATTAAAGATTTGTAGAAAGAAGTGAAAATCCAAGCTGAATGTAAGACAGAAACAAATATATCAACAGTCGTGGACGCATGCAGGCTCACAATCAAATATGAACAAAGATGTACACAAATGCACACCGCAGCCCGACTCACCAGATACCAAACATAGTGGAAACGACTGAAAATCTTCATTTTCAACAATCCTGTCAAGTTTGGGCAATCTTTTGCAAAACCCTCATGGGCTCAAGAAGTCTTCGGCATCGAAAGCCTTTTTTTCCAGTGGAGCATCTCTGTGCAGCATAGCCATTCCCGAAACAAATATAACTCCTCCTTTGGCTGTGTGTGCGTGTGTCTATCAAAAGCCTGTGCCAACCACTGCTACTGATCCTCCTCTTGAGGCCTTATGCTCTGAAGGTCACCTGTGTGCCTGTTTGTGTGTTTCTGTGTGTGTGTTGGAGATCCGATATTAAAGGGGACAGTGCTAAACGGCTCAGTCATCAAACATTTATATGATATTGAGGTTAGCGGCCACACACTCAGCCTTTCGTCAGTACAAGCTGTGGAAAGCCCTCATGAAAGCAGCCATGCTCTTTCTCCCCTGTGGCCATCGTGTCATGGATGAGTAATGCACACAGTGGGAATGATTCAGAAAATAGTGGAAGTCCCTTTTAAGAACTTTTGATTATTGAAATCTGGCTAAATCGTGGCTAGCGATAAATATATGGCAGCAGGTGTGCACGAAGTGTTTAAAGTGGAAGTCAACTCAAAAATATTCTTTACATTAACATGTTCTATGCTGCCCCATGAGTCGAAACACGGTATTCGGATTAATATTCTGTTTGTGGAATATGAAGTAGGCAGCAAAACCTGTCCACCCGCTTTTGTCCATCTCAGGAGTTGGTCATTTTGCTACTTGCTGCTAACTGAAAATGGTATCACAGATGCTCATGGCTCAGATAATGAATCGCAGCTCACCTGTTTTCTGAGTTTGGACAAGCTGAGCTGTGATTGGCTGTTAGTTACCTAAGTCCTGAGCAACTGTAATGTCATTTTCAGTCGACGTCTAGTGACAAAATGGTCGCCTCCTGAGATGGATAAAAACATATTGTGTAGAACATGGAAAGAAAAATTTAATCTGGAGAAGAAAATGTCCTAACGTAACACATAAATCAATTTTGGTGATAAAATGATAAAATTATGAATTACAGAAATGTTCTGTTGATGCTTGTGGTCTACTAAGAAACAAATAGTCATTTTAGTCTATGGAAAGGGAGCCAATGTGAGGAAAAAGGTGACCAAACATTGCTTACCTGCAAAGCAGCCTGAAGGAAGAAGAAGAAGAAGAGATAGAGGAAAAAGAGGATCGGACATTTGGTTAGGAGGGTAGCGGCAGTGAGTGCTGGCAGACGGACAGCATTTGAAAGAGGAGGACGAGGTGTTAGGGTACAAACATGACCTTGCAGAAGCAGAAAGAGTGGACATGCAAACAACACATCATTCCTAACTGGCCACATTTTTTGATGGTGCAATTATTTGACTGCTGTTTCAGTTATTTAAGTCTATAGTTGAATGAAATCACGGCGCCTCGTTTGACACAAATCTGTACCTTTTGCTGGATGGTGGAGTGTTTTTGCTCCATGTCCCGCTTCTCTTTGGCAGCATCCACAACCAGCTGGTCCAACTGCAAAGGACAACAAACAGATTAGTCAGGCATGCTAAACCACCTGGTCACACTCTAAAAACAAACAATGTGAGATCTCACAAATATGACAAAGATATTTTTCATAGCTAATTTCCTAATGCTCACTACAAAACAGCTGAAAATAATTGCAATGGAAAACAGACGCTTCATATTCCCTTGAGATTCTTCAGATTAGAATATGAACTAGATAGGAGAATCGCTCTTCAACAAACAAAACCGACCCGTCAGCAACGGAGTCATCTTGTGTGAAATCAGGTGGGAAATGAATGATTCTCTTCAACCCTGCCTGTCGACATCATTTCACAGAAAGAAACAAATGTCTGCTTTCATAGAGAATGCCACAAATGTGCCAGTTTGCCTCAAGGCGTTGAGGTTCAAGTCTATTCATAATTTGTTGCCACAATGCGACCTAAATCAGAAGGCAAGACAAAAAAAATATCCTTCTCTAGTCACCGGTCAATAAGAGGGCAACATTTACAAGAGGTGAAAAGGTGAAATGTGAGACAAAAGTATTGTTTGACAGCGGTCACTAATACCTTGTTTCTTTCACATAAATGCTGACACAAAAATATTTTCTTTCATTTAGAATGTTTTTTGTTTATCATTCAGAAGTTTGAGATGAAAATAAAAATAACTTTACTGGCAAAGAATCCACTTTACAAACATAGGAGAAAAGAACAACCATTTCCCTCAGGAAGGTCCTCCTAAAGTTAAGACACTTAAAAGGGAAAGTCAAGTCAAAAATGGGCTTTACAATAATATGTTCTATGCTTGCCCGCTAGTCTAAACACAGCATTCTGATTAGTAGGTTTGTGGAATATAAACTGGCAGCAAAATCAACCCCTTTTTATTTGGCTCAAACTCAGGAAACAGGTGAGCCATGCCTGGCCGTTTCGGAGTCATTTACAGTCGACAGCGAGTGGCATAATGTGACCGCCCCTGCGATGGAAACAAACAGATGGATTTTACTGCTGAAATTCTTATTCCACAAATGCATCAGAATACCATTTGGAGACTAGTTGGGGAGCATAAAACATATTTTTGTTAAGAACATTTTTTTGAGTTGACCTGACCCCTTTTAATATGACAAAGCCATGATATAATGCCACACAGTGTTGTTCATTTGGTGGAAGATATTAAATACAAGGAGCTTTAAAAAAAAAGAAAAGAAAAAAAAAGATGCTTTGTTTTTGGGGGAGATTAGCCTTTCGCTTTGTTTGGGCAGGAAATGGGTGGACGGCAGAGCAGCAGCATGATAGCATCAGATGGGAAATATTTTCCTGCTGTCACAACCATAACAACAAGTCCAGTCCAGTCCAGATTGTCTATCTACATACATTTCATTCAAATGCGTTTGAAGCTCCCTCCATAGTTTGAGAGAGTGACTTGCCTAAAAAGTCCAATATTTTTATAGCTGCAAACAAACCATTCTCATAATGACAACGCTGAATTCAACCACTATGCCACCATCTATACGTACAAGTATTACTGCTTTGGCCATAGTAAAACGCCAGATAGATTTACTCGTGCCGTATCTTCACCCATCCACAATAACATGAATAAAATTAACCGTACCATTTTTTTTGTTTGTACTGTAATTTTCCTGTCCTTAGTCATACATTGACAACAGACCTGTTGACAGCTCCTCCACACCTCCCTGCACAGCCGCTCCACTTTCTTCAGCTTCATGATAGAAGAAGAATTAATCGTCGTATCCTTGCTTCATTGCTTGGATGCTGATTCTCCCCCCTTGTCACTTTTACGCAGATCGAAGCTCAATGTGTATGCAGCTTTCCAGATTCACTCAGCGGGGTTACACTTCATGGTCGAGTTGTTCCTCTCCCAATTTTCCTCTTCTGTCCTTTGACTGTCGAAGCCACGTGTTTCCATATGTGCCTCTTCCTTCTGCGTCCATCACTGTGGAAGATTATACTCCGCCTCTCATCCTGTCCTAAATATGTCTCAACAAAAGCTTCTATTTTCCTGATACCGTACTCTCTTGTGAAGGATGGTTCCAATTTCAGCACATGAGAGCTAAAAAACCACACTTGTCTCACCACTCCAGTTTAGAGGAATGTTGTTTGAACTCTTCAGAATTCCCTCACAAGTAAGCCTTCGCTCTCGTTCCCACAAAAACACTCTTTTGTCCGTGCTTCTGTTAACAAATGCACTGCTTCGTTCTTCTCTAACTCCCCCACTTTAATTTAAAAAAAAAAAAAAAGACATTTCATTTAGATTTTTCTTTTCCTGATGTAGCCTCAGAAACATCCGCAAACAATCCACAAAACTTCAACAGGATTCTTGGGTTTCTCCGCCGCATTCTCTCAGCTGAGTCGAAACTCTAGTGGGACTGACGGTGGGAAAATACATCTCAAGCCTTCTAGCTGCCTTCTTCCTCATTCTACTGATATCACCATCTCAAAGTCACAAATGGGCTAAGAGGGAGGGCTGTTTATCATAGGATGTGCACAGATTCACTTCACAGAGAACAATGAATTCAAATAATGCCACTACAAACTAAGGACCACATATTTTCAAGAACCCAAATACATTCTCCATCTCAGAGACAAATCCAAATGAGTCTATGAACAGAAATGCCATTATAATCAAACTATGCTTCCCCCCGCCCCCAAAAAACATACGAATGAATGTTGATCCACCGCAGGGAAATGGAATGTAAACATTTTTTACAGTGAGTTTGCTTCTTCACTCAGGATCGCTCCAAGTTTGCATGTGATCTGTTGTACACACTGTTGATGTACCCATTTTAAGTATAAGAATAAGAATATTACGTTAAACTTGCAAGTCTGCTTCCGCACCTCTGCGGACAACAATATAAGCCATGTTGCTGTTTTCATCCATTGCTATCCCCAGTAATTAATATACAGCTGAGAGAGCAGAACAATTTGTGGAGCGCTAGGGGTGCACAGCGCTCAGGGGTGAACATCCAAAAAGAATGAAATACATCTCACTTTGATGTAACTATGCTACTGATAAGCAACCCATGCTGAGATAGGCATTATCACACCATATGGGTTGTGAAAACATACGCGATGAAAGGAGCAAAATGGGATTTGGGGGTGTGTTCCCTTGCCCCTGGAGCTAAGTATACTTGTACGTAAGGCACACGAGTATTGTATGTACCGCATGTACATATGCCTGTGAGTTTGTGTGTGAATTTCTTGCATGCTGTACCTGTCCTCCGAGCTGTTTCATTAGAGGCTGTAACTCACTGAAGAGGTCATAGCCTTGGTGGAAAAAAGTCAGGTGGGCATACATGAAGGACAGCATCTGTGGCGGGGACAGTCATTATCCGTTGAGCAAAACAAGCGGGAGTCTCTCCGGATCATGAAAGGGTTGAGGGTTCTCTACTCACAGATTTGAGGATTTCCGATCTTCTCTTGGACTGTAGCACGTTAATCTGCAAAAAAAATAAAACCAAAAATATTGAGCCGATATTGAGTGGTTGTGACGGAGGCAACAATGAAAAGGTTAACACAAATGTTTTTTATATTGACACCAGGGGGAGCTCTGTATGACGGCAGATGATACTAAAGCGCTATATAAATCAGCATGTATGGTATTGTATTGTAGGGTGTCACAAGCTGCTGCCAATTTTTGCCTCAAGCCATGTCTAGGTTTCACTGACTATCTGCTTTCCTAATGATTAATGTTTCGTTAAATGGGTGTGCCAACCCACTGAAGGATAATGCTACCGAGTATCGAATTGAAGTGCAATTATTGTTTCATGACTTGATATTGCTTGTAAGTCTTCTCCAAACTCAGCTTGATCTCCAAATAACAGCTGCAAGTGGACTGCAACTTGACAAGATATGAACATCCTTGACTAATTTATTGGTGCACCAAGCCTCCGATGCTCTGCACACTCTCTCTAGTGCATGTTTACGACATCAAAGGAATGAAATGATTTCTTCCTATTACATGACACTCACTTCTGGTTGAGTGGTGTCTCCAAATGTTTTGGTAAATGAATAAATAAATAAATACATGAATGAATGAATGAATGAATGAATGAATGAATGCCTCATAAGTCAAGCAATACATGGAGCTCAAAGCATCATCATGGGCGTTTGAAAATCTTGTTAGCTCAGTGAGAAGCTAAGGGATTAAATGTACGGTACTCTCTATTTGGCCTCTTCGTGTGTGTAATGAAAACTAGAGAACGAGAAATGAAACTTATCATGACATTGCAAAGTAATAAATGTGGTTTGGAAATTTTCTAATTAGTCATTAGTATTGCATGCTTCATTTCAGCGTTATGAAGTTTCGATACCTGCAAATTAGTAGATATTGGTATACCAGACCAATTTGCACAACAGAAAAATGTCATAAACGCAGCAGGCTCACAGCACCTCTCTTCCTCCATCTTGGATGTCAATGTGCAAGTATATTAACACTCAATGCCACAAAAAGAGCATAAAAGCAACATTTCAAGTCTTAACCGTTTCCTACAAGATCCAGAAGCGGAATTTTTCTTTCTGCTGCGACAGCAGCTTGCCAGATAAATTTCCAGCATTCAGACACAAAGGCAAGAAAAACAGTCAGAGCTAAACTTCGTCGAGAAATCATGGAATGAACCAAAGGAGCCCATTACAGAAATGTATTTTCCACATCAAAATTTTTTTTTGCTTTGGATTCTTTCCTCTGAGGCTTTTTGGGTAAGTGTGACACATGCAATAATTTTACTTGAAATGTGGCTGTGAGGCTTTCCGGGTGTTGTACTCATCCTATTGCTCCCTTCCTCTTTTACCTATTCACTATTTTTACTGAAGTATAGGAATAATTGGATGTATGTATCCATCCCCATGCCATATTTTAAACATGATTTCTCACTAGTAATAGTACAAACTACAACTTCAGCGAAATGAATCCCTATCATGCGGTAGAGTGCATTATTTTGTATTTAGTGGAATCAAACACATCTGAGGCTCATTCTTCCGTGTCCTAACATCAGCATGTTAAACCCTGACTCAGCACATTAAGCTTTCAGCTCAAATCTATGACTGCTTGTACTGCATTTTTACAACTTCTTGTTAAGGAGATATGCATGCCTCGACTTATTTGTGTCCTTTTGAGAAAAAAAAAAAATCTCCTCAGAGACATTTTAACAACCTTCAAAAAATATATACTGATTATTAAATGAACTGAAATTGTGTAATAATATGATTATTTAATTAACTGGAAGAAAAACAACGGACAAATAGCCAGTACATTTTAAAACTATATGCTGGCATATTGCTTTCAACACAAAGTGACAACCAGTGAAATACGTTTGATACGACACTTTTTCCTTTCAGAGAAAAATGTGTGAACAAATAATTTCGATTTCATGTCAGCGAACGTCACATTGTAGATGAATTAACATGCCACTGTACCTGCAAAACATAGTCGAGAACGATGTGTCGGAAGCACTTGCGCGTGGCGGTAAGGATGTTGGTAGCCTCTTCCACTTCGTGCTGCTTGTTGCGGGGAGCCTGGGCATTTTTGATCAGCGCTGCATCCTTTTCTTCACTCACCTTGTCAAACTGCTTCTTGGCTTCTTTAAATTTACGTAGGTCACTGGCAAGTGGATCGGGTGGAAAGACAGGTAAGAGTTTTAGGTGGTTTTCCCAAGGTGTCGAAAGACAATGGTAAGTGAAAGTAAAACTTGAAAAGAAGCCAAGTTGTCATTGATTTTAACCCGACGGTTAAACATAGATTTAAAAATTCGCAAAGAGACCATGCGGTCTTTCATGAGGCTAATGAAGCTGCATGTCTAAGAGTGTCTGCAGTGCACACACTTTAAACATTCTCGTGTCTCACCTTTGCTTTCTCATGTCTTTGGGTTTAGAGAGATTAAGTCATATTTGAATCCTGTAAGGCAGTGGGTAATTATGGAGAAACGCACTTCCCTGCTCTATCTGAGAAGGCATGTGACTACTGATGTGGGTGTTAAACCCTGGTGAGCCAGGGGCAAAAAAAGGCTAATTCCTAAAAATCTAATTAATCTGGGTTAAGATCTCCTGCTTCTTCAAAGTACTAGCCCATCTGGAGTGCTATATTTGGAAATAAGTCTCTGTAGAAAAACACTTAAGGTAAATAATTTTGCACCCACCATCCGCTCTAAAAGTACACTTTCTAACCTCTCATATTATTTCCGACTTGGCTGCAGAATGCAAAATAATTGATCGCCATTTCTGACATAAATGATCATTCTTTTAATACTCACTCTTTTACAAATGTTTGAAGCTGGGTCTTGATTGATCTCTGGGCCTGATCGAATAGTATCTGCACAGTAAAAGATCATTTCATTTACATGAACAACGGTTGCATTAAACAGTTCTCTAAGAGAGTCCCGAAGAGCAAAGTATGCATTCATTTGGCAGGTGACAAGATGCTTGGCAAGTAGTGGTGCTCCAATCATAAAACCCTGATCGGAACACTGCTATTGGCAAGTCATTTGCACTTCTGTATGACTTACAAAACATTTTTGTTCATTGTGACACACAAGCACATCACTGTTATAATGGATTCTATGCAATTTGGAAAGTAGAGAGGACAATACGAGCAGTGTGGCTAGTAGATGCTACCACTGTCAAATAGAGCACTGTTTGAGATCATGTGCTTTAAAAAGATCGCTGAGTGGCAACAAACACTCATGAGAATCAGCTGACGTGACCAGCGTTTCCTCAACAGACTCACACTCATCCTCAACTGTTGATCAATTTAGAAGAACAGACTTAAAGAACTGGGCCACCTATTTGAAAATATACTGTGTTGAATAATAGTGGTGGCACGGTGGCCAACTGGCTAGCACGTCAGCCTCGCAGTGCAGAGGTGCAGGATTCGATTCCGGAGTTTGCATGCTGTCCCCGTGCCTGCATGGGTTTTCTCCGGGTACTCCGGTTTCCTCCCACATTCCAAAAACATGCATGGCAGGTTAATAGAACACTCTAAATTGTGCCTAGGTGTGATTGTGAGCGTGGGTGATTGTTCGTCTAAGTGTGCTCGGCGATTGGCTGGCAGTTCAGGGTGTACCCTCGTGAGGATAAGTGGATGAATGGATTGATGAATGGATTGATGAATGATGGCTGATTAGCCATTTCTAGAATGTGCTGAAGTCTGACATGCCCATAAAATTCAGATACAATTTCAGACTGTCAGACCAGATGGGTTTTGTCTTCAGCCAGCTGTCAACAGGGAATTCTAACACATCCCGTTTCACATGGATTAACCTACCGTATGATAGTTGATCATCTCCTGAAGGCTTTCTGCAAACTTGGAAAGACTGGACTGTGAGAGAAAAGAGGGACAAACGTCAGTATAAAATAAGTCAGTCAAAATCAGTAAAAGAAAAAGCAGGAATACATGGCAATTCTGAAACATCGCTATGGCTCAATTAAATGCAAATTTAATCATATTACATGACTAACAGAGTCTGTGGGAGCGAAAGAAAATATATATGTACACACACACACACACACACACACACACACACACACACACACACACACACACACCTGCCAACATTCAAAGTTGGCAGGTGTGTGATTATTAACTTGAAATAATTGTACTATCAGGCTTTGCCAACATCGTTTTTGCTTCGAGCAGAAGCCTACAGGTTTCGTGTTAATGCATACTGCTATTTTGAACTGTTCATAATTCGAGCCCCAAAGCATGACAGTGACACCCCCAGGTATGGTTTTTTTTTCGGTGACGAGCAGTACTGTCTGTGCCAAACTTACCTTACCTTTTGGAATCATAGCCTCATAGCTCAACCTTGATTTAATTTCTAACACGTGACTGAAACGTGACTGGGCAATTCTGAACACAACCAAATCAGAGTTAGAACACAAAAGAGGCATGAGTCAGATTTGTATTCACCTCGATGACTTCATCTTTGGTAGATTGCAGGGCAAGCTCCCGGATCCCGTTGACAAACTGTTTGTTGGCAGCATTGTAAGCTTTCCCAGCATCTATCATCCCGATACACAACTTCACCAGCTAAAGAAAGATAACATAGAGAAAGCATGAAAATGGGGTATAATTTTAGAATGTAATAATGTGGTGTCAAGTTTGAGTCCAAAACACTGTTAGTGTCTTCTTTTTAAAAAGGAACTTGTTTTGTTTCCCTTCTGAGTCACTTGGGGGGGAACAAAGATAATTTCAGGTTATGTGTAAACATAAACAGAGCTTGGCTATACACCATTCTCTCCCACAGAGATATCTGAGCCAAAATGAAGCAAACAAAAATAAGCCACTTCAACTGTCAAGGTCTGAAAGAAACAATCATTCATCCATTTTCTGTGCCAATTAGCAGCTTGCTTTGTTCTTATATTAACATAAGATGCATGAAATTGTTATATAATGTTATGACTTTTGTCTCTCTTTGTTGGGTTCATCCATCCATTTTTAACTGTTTAAGGGTCAAGGAGAGCTGGAGCCTGTCGAAGGTGACTGTGAGTGAGAGGCGGAGTATACTCTAATCACCAGTCAATCATGGGGCACTTATAGCCTCAAAATCATACAAGCACGGGAAGCATATGCAAACTGCACATGCCCGATATCTGAATGTAGTCCTGAAAAGTTTTGAAAACGCTCCTACTCGCTCGACTCCTCCAACCAACGACGAGCTATTGTATTTCAAGGAGCAGACTCAGATCTGACTGACTGTGTTGGGAGTTGTACATTTTCCACAAGCCAGAGTTACATCTGCTCGTGTACTAGTCCATGGAACACGATTGTACAGTCCCTTAGTCAAAGCAAGTTGATAAGAACTGTTAAAATTATGGGAGGAGCTCTGCAAGCATTGAATACATTGGCAATAATAGGACGCATACAATATGAAAGCAACTGCGTGAACACATTCACAGCTCGACACACTGGCGAGTGGCGACAATATGAGAAGAGGTTAAAAATAAACAGAATAGTTAACAGGGAGAAAATGTAAGTGCCTCGGGAGAATTTACGAACAATTATGGGAATGTAATCCTTTTGTATTGTCTTGTTTAAGAGTGTTCTGACGTGTATGTGTAGCCGTTTAAAGTCTCCGCCCTTCAACACACACACACACACACACACACACACACACACACACACACACACACACACACACACACACACAAAAGCACACACAGCCGAGTACTAACAGACACTCCCACTCTCCAGTCAATCCTTCCTCTTTATAGCAAGAAGGGAAGTGAAGGCTGCACTGAGTCACAGAGGTGGAGTTTTGAGGAGGGGAGGAAGAGGAGGAAGAGGAGGGTGAGGACACGATTAAGTCCAGGAACAATGAACATGAATAGTTTGGGCCCAAGGTCTTTCCCTCACTGAGTAAACATAGGCTCTGCTCTGCTTGGAGAACAGATTAAGTTGCTAAAAACTGTATGGGGATGACATAAAACCACTCAATCTGGAGAATTTGAGCCAAACTGAAAAGGGAAAAAAAAAAAAAAGTGAAACGACAAGTGGGGAAAGGTGTTGTTATTACAATGGCGTTGATTAAAACAAAAGAAGTAATTTTGGGGGAAAATTGCCCTTCAAAGACTGATTTTCCTTTGTACTCATGTGTTATGTGGTCCCCAATTTGCTGGATTTCAAGCTAAAAGCTTGAAGGAATGTGCAGTTGCATTGTCATTTGATAGTTTGGGAATTTCTTATGTTCAGCCACGTAATTTTTGTATACAAAATATGTTTTACATTCAATGAATTGATGAAAGAATTGATTCTGAAAATATTCAATAACCCTTGGTGGTACTCACTTTATCGAGCTTCGATTCCAACTCACACACATCCCCCTCCACGTCCTCTATGGTCGCTCTGCAGAGGAAAAATACATTTGAAAAAAAATGTTGGCTTGGCTCACTACTTACTGATCAGCTGTGATTGATCGGGACTTAATAGAAATGTTAAACATTGCAATGTGAAAAACATTACGGGAGAGACTGTAATAGACTACTTTTGTTTTTGTTCACTTTTCTATCATCGGGTTATGTTGACATGCATTAATTGTACTACTCGGTGCACCGCATTGCTTTTAAGAATTGCATGAGGTCAGCGACGGTCCTCTAAATGACATAAAAGCAGTCGTTTGGTGCTTGAGTGAAATTGGGCAGATTAAGAGCAACAAACTACTCTAACAGCAGTGGAACATTTGCCAAACTCCCTGCAGCGGTTGTTTGTCCCTTTGAGCCACAGCAAAAACCGCCAACATCATCTCTGGCATCATGTCAGAGCAACAGAGGCAATCTTGTCTCGTGATCTGCTTTTACTAAAGAAACTTTGGACATGCAGCTTTCAGAAAGAAAAAAAAAACAGAATACAGTTGAGTACACAAAGCATAGTGACCAACTGCATTGAAAGTGTTGCATTTCCCCAAGCTATCATTCAAATCAATATTGTCCAAAAAAATGACTTATTCAACAATACTACTCCTCTCTACAATAATCCTTCTGCAGTTGACACACACTAAATGTCAACAGTTCGGGGCCAAAACATGCTGCGGCCATTGTTCGACCAAGGACAACATGACAATTACCTCAAAGCTTGTGAATGTACTGCGACCCAGGAATGTAGGCAAAACAGCTATCACATGTATTTAATGTGGAAAAACATGCACCGGCAGCATGTGAAGCTGAGGTTTGCAGAGATTCCCAACCATACCTATTGCACCCGTCAAAACTTGCAAATAAATTCAGTTGGCCGATTATGTTACACCATTACTTGCAAATATTAAGATGCACTGTAGCTCTAGCTATTATTAACCAATACATAGAACATTTTTATACTCCATTAATCAAAAGAAAAGTAGACACCAAGGACAACATTTTTTTTTTAATAGGTAACATTCTTGACAAGATATGGGCATATGACTACATTTCCTTGACTTTAAGTAATTACAGGATCAATTTAAAAATACAATACATATTTATTTAGATATTAATGAAATGTTATGTGCCATGGGATAAGAAAACTCCAGATGTGGTGAATGCCATTGTTGAGCGGAAAAACGCTGCTCAGAGCTGTTATGCCATTGTGGAGATTTGGGTGCAGGGCTCAAGATTAACTGTTTTCACTGGTTGCACCATTTTTTTCCCCTCTTTGAAGCACCAGCGCAAAAGTTAGTTGCAACTAAAATTTGGAGTGCATCACATTCAACACCGGAGTTTCAATGTAAGTTTTGTTCTTAGCCGTATCTGACTGCAGCACACGCATCTCCAAATACAGGCACGCGAATATCTGGACCATGGCCAACCAGGGTGGCCACACCCTTCACTTTTTCCTGATTGGTTCAGACCACGATGTGCCTCATGTGGGTTGCAGAAGAACCAAATGGAGGCTTTCAGAGTCACAAAGACTTTCTAACACAAAACATCAAAAGGCTGGTCATGCCAGTACAACTTCTTATTTGTTTTAGCGTTTTTTTTAACCGTTCAGAAATTGGTCTCAATCGAGATAGAACCATGGGGTGGATATCGATCAACTCCCCATAGCTGACGTTATTTATTGTTATGCTTTAGACTGCAAAGTAATTGAGACTGGATCAACAGTATCTCTGATGTGTACTACTTTTTTCCTTTTTCTTCAGAAAAGGATTACTCAACAGTCACTTCCACATAATTCTAAGCGATCAGTTTTGCCCATTTCCACTGGGGACTCTGAGTCGAACAGACCGGTAGTCATCCAGTCTATGCACTAAATTTACCACTGTACAATGACTATTACAGTCCCTTCTCAAAGTATTGAAACAGAGAGGAAAATCTGTGATTTCAGAAGTGTGAATCGAACTGGTCGACCTTTGCATTAATTAGACAAGCTTTCAAAAAGGTTGGTGACATGGAGCCTAATTCTTCACGCCAGCAAATTCAACAAAGACCCACTCGTAGCAGAGAAAAGGCAATATACTTAAGTGTCTTCTTAGATGCCAAGACAAAGACAAGCAGTGGTCAATCAACCTCTTTATTAGTGCAGATTTAGGACCCAGCTTCAGAGCTGTGACCTTGAAACATGTTTAGGTAACCGAATGAGCTAAGGAAGAAAGAGACGCTACACACCATGCGCGACACTAATGCTCTAAGTTGATTATTTTAAAAATTCTGCTAAACGGATGCTCTTTAGAGAGCAACAGAGACAATTCAAAAAGGTAATCAAGTTTTTCCTATGTCTGTCCATGTAGTTGTGTGTTATGTAATAGAGGCATTAACGGTGTCATCCAACATCATAATCTCCCTTTTGGGCTCATGGTTCTTTGCAAATCCAATTTTATTTTCATTTTCACAGTGTTATTTGGCTCCTCTAAGGACGGTGAAATCCCTTTTACACAGAGATCATGTTGAAGCATCAGAATAAAAGAAGGTACACATTTACATTTTAAATACAACCCGTCAAAGGTGAGATACTGTAGCAGCTGCCTGTGTTTTCATACAGCAACACAATATCTCAATAATCAGTCAACGCCCGATGTCATAAATGAAATACTTTGTTGGACACCACTAATTGCTTTCAACACAACTGGGAAAAGAAATACACTAAGGGTTGGTTTTTACAGCCAGTGTAAAATGACCTTCAGTGAACTTGGTAATAGTGAGATACACTGGGAGGGATTGCAGAGGACACACGAGACTCAGACAAAATATAACACCACTCAAGACAGATGTAATTAATATATTTTACAGCCTTTGGCCATATAACATCATGTCATCAAATATATATCAAATACTTAGCAACATTTAAGAGGGGCCAGTAGGGATATGTATTTTTTTACATTTATTCACAAACATATGCTTATCACAGCTTTATAAAGTGGCATCAATAAGCTTGCATCTGTAGAGAGCCCACATGCGGCTGTGAAGAAGGGCGAGTGATGCAGGTATTTTGCTTTAAGTGCAAAACATTTTTGGCAAAACATCTGACGTCTGGCTCCAGCACAGCCCAAAAAAAAAAAAGCGTAATGGGAGCTGCCGCAAGGCACACATTGCAAGCGACTTTGTTCTAATTTCATCACAATGAACTGAATTCGGTTTTGTGATATGATATGTGAGGTTACGTTTCCATTTCGGAAATGTCATAGGTGAACCTTACACAAAAAGCCAGCAGCAGGTTAGTGTACGCGCACTACACAGAATACAGTCTTCTGTCTATACGACAATTGAACTTTTCTGTCCAAGACAAAACAAATGTGAAAACCAAGACATTGTGGTTAAAAAGCTGGCTCGTGAGGTTGACGCTAGGGCTAGATAAAGACTGAGATGTGGTTTGATGTAGTCTACAACCCATTGAAAGGAAAAAAGCCAGCTTTGCAAACCACATGAGCAAGGAAAAGGCCAATTCAGCATTTAGGGAACGTTTAGGTCCCTGTTCTTCCTGACGGGGTATTTCCTCACAAGGATGGTCCATCTTAAAACTGAGATACTTACACAATTGAGGAAAAAAAAAAGCTATGACATTCTTTAAAAAAAATTGTGTTGAGTGTGTCTCGTTCTGACTGTTACTTTCAATGAAGCATGATTTCGCAGTTCACAACAATACTATTTAAAATGGAAACCAGACCACCGCAGGCAGGTAGCATGAGACAGAAACAAAAATGTTTGTTCAATATAACAGGGACGTCAAAAGAGAAAGCAATATATACCGTGTTGTTTGCTTATGGATGATGTCAGAATTTTGTCTTGTTGAGTGCCAACTGTTTCCCTTTTGTATTAATCATTGGTGACTTACATGCTGCAAATGCATTTCCACATTATAGATTTTTAAGGGAGGTATGGGCTCTTAAAAGTGTCCTGCCTAGTTAATTCTGTCCTATTAAATCTAGAACAAAAACAAGGTACAAAAATGAATTCTTTATATTTGCTAGCTAGAGAATAATAATGAGACCTGTACTTCGCTTTGTGCTGCCATGTTTTGAGCACCAAAGTTTGTCAGGCAGCCAGTAAAATCGAGTAAGCCTCTTGGGTTACGGGTAACCCAAGAGGCCGCCCCTGCGATGACCAATCAGCATCAACTAAAGTAACAGGCATGAGTCTTGGATCACAACAAGGCCAAAGCCCGTCTTCCAAGACCGTAGCACCCCTGAAAAGAGAGACCTACTGATTCTTCTCCCCTCATTGAAAGTGCTGCTGCTGTAAGAGGCTGTCAGGAGGTCAGGCTGTCATATGCACTCTGCTTGCAAAATGAGCTAGAAAAACAGGTTTGTCATGTCAATACAATGCAATTACCACAGTCACCGAAGTTGGCTCTTCAAGCGACCAAGTCAAAACATGAAGAGACCTTTCGGGTTGAGCCCGGGCTGTGGGCCCCGGTGACCCGTATCCGGGCAAGGGAAAACAATTATTTGTGTATTTTCACTACTTGCAGCAGGGCTCGTCTCCTCCCCGAGAATAGCGAATGTTCGTAATATACCGTCAATGCTGATTGGTGAAAGGAACTCCACAGTATTACAGTGACAGAGCCTGGTGCAAAAATAAACAACTCAATAAAAATAACCTCAACACTATAACTTGGTTTTCGTGGACAGATATGTGGGGAATGGGGTGAGCGCATTGCTGTGACGGAGATCCTGTAATTGTTTGAAAGTGGAGCAGCGATTCTTTGGAAAGGCGTCCTGCTGCTGTAGAACACATCAATGGAGACTCTAGCAACATCAACAAAATAAAATTATGATTTAACAAGGCGCATCTACACATGTTGATGTAGTATTATATTTGCTCTTAAAAGGGGGATGAACATTTCAAGCATCCTGATGATACCGTAGGCGATACTGTAGGCATGTGTTTCCTTAAAGGCGTACGATGACACTGTAGCATGAAACCTGTCAGTCACGA